TAAACAAATTAGAGAAAGAAAGTACAGAAGCCGGCCTTAAAAATCAATCCCACTAGGCAAAACTGGAACAATTTGAAAAACAAAACAATGACAGTATTGGATTGTAAACCAAAGAATAAATATCAGTGATGCTATTATGATACGAATACATTTTTACATTATTGAATGGATGGAAGAATGATACAATTCTATTGAAAGACACACTACAATGAAAGTAGAAGTAACAAAGATGACAGAAAATCACTTCAATCATAATTGTTTCATAAATGGTAAAATGGTTAATATCAAAATCAGTGTGTAAAAACAAGATATTTGCACTGACTCAAAGTATATTCCTCTAAATGTTTAAGGATTATTATGGTGGTTTTAACGTATGTCTACATATTCTTAATAACTCTTCAGAAGTTGGGGTCTCATTCTCTACTCTTTGACACAGGCAGAACTAACATTTTAGGAGTAATAAAGTATGGAAGCATGAGAAAAAACTTTATAGTTTGGAATTTTGAAAGAAATCATCTGAAGCAAATAACCAAGGTCAATGTCATCATTACTGAGACAGCTCTTATAATGTGTTCTCAGAGTGATGAACTGAGGACGCCTCTGTGGTGTAGAGGCAACACAAAATGAGTCAAATGATAAGATAAATTCCAAGTTGAGAAACATACTGTAAAGTATCTGGTGATTACTCCTTAAGCCTAACAGACACTCAGAAATAAGGTCAAGCTGTCACAGATAGGAAGAGAATAAGTAGTCATTAAATTAAGCAATTTTGAATTGGATATTGTAACAAAAGAGAAAAAGAGGAAAAAGGAGAAGAATGAGAAGAAGGAGAAGAAGGAGAAGGAGAAGAAAAAGAAGAAGACAACAAAAACAAGAAGAATAAGAACAAGAAGAAAGAGAAAGAAAGAAAGAAAGAAAGAAAGAAAGAAAGAAAGAAAGAAAGAAAGAAAGTTGTGAGTGGAAAAAGTAAAGAAATCCAACAATTAAAATTGTTGTTACTATTGCACTAATATAAATCTCTGAGTTTTTAGTAGTTTATCATAAAATATGTGAGATTCTCAAATTAGAGGAACCTTACTTAAAATGTATATAGAAACTTTTATACAATCTTTGCAACTTTCCTTTAAGTCTAAATTATTTCACAGTATGTAGATTTAAGCAAAAAATATGGAAGCACAAATAGGTTCCCCAGTGAGTGGATCACAAAAATGTCCGATGTATTTCTTCCCGTTGCCCTAGTAGAATTCCTTGCATTCTCTTAAATAGTTTCTTCAACTATCCTCACTACTCCCGTGCTCTACTGGCATGAGGAAAACAAATAAGCAACAGCCATAACTGTATTTCAGTAGAATATTTACTGTGCTTCATAATAAAACATTAAATACTTTCAGATCAAGCCTTCTTAACCCATTGTATCTCTTATGGCTGAGATTATAATGTCCTCCCAAACTCTCCCCTTTGGTGGTAAAACTTGATGGGGGTTGTCCCTGGAGGCATAGCTCAGAAGGTATAGTCTGTCTCCTACAACTTCTCTTCACCCTATGTTTCCTGATTCTGATACTTGAGCACCTTTTCTTCCCCCATGAATCCACCTGTTATGGTTTTTGTCAGTGGCCCCCAAGCTTCATGAATTATGAACTGGACAAAATCTAGAGTTTGTGATTGGTTCATTGTCTAGTGCTTGGATTGGTGATGTGAGTGCTGCACCTGTCTAGGGATGGAGCCAGGGTATGATGTAATGGCCGGAAGCAGGTGTTTCTCACTCTTTTGCTGGTTCATGCTTGCTATTTGTGGTGGCCACAAGTGACAGCCCTACCACGCCACGCTGCCTTGGAGTCAACTGAGTATGGGCTGACACCTCCAAAGAACTGTAAGAAATACACCTTTCCTTCCCTATCTTGGGGCATCAGGTATTTTATCTCAGCGAGGAGTTGAAAAGTAACTAAGACACCATCTGAGGATGGACTGAAACTTCAAGGCAAAATAAACATCTTGTACTTTAATTTGCAGATGTCAGGTACTTTGTCCCAGCATGCCTAATCCAAAAGAATGTTGCCACTACCCTGAATATTTTTAACTGTGTGGTTCAGAAGTCTTTGGAACAGGTTTGTGAGAAGTTACCAAGTGTTTATAGATGCCTGCTAAGAAGCCTTAGAGTACTGAAATTCAAGCTTGATGGGAAATTCTGGCCAGAATTCAGAAGACCAGCATGCCTACAGAAATTCAGTCTGTAGATCCAGGTTCAGGAGGTTACAATTGGGAGTAAGGATTCCATTGGCAGTGGAAGTAGAGGTCATGTGTCTTATACCAGGCAGGAAATGTACGTATGTATATTTTTGTCTGTGTCTCAAGACTTAAGTTGAAGACTGAAATTAAGGACAGATGACTAATTAAGGTACTACTTAGTCATTATTACTACTTCTGGAGCTTTAGATTTTTTAAGGGTACCATTAACTTCACTTTCATAGTAGATATATAGAATAGTAGATATATAGATCAGTTTCAGAGATGTGTGTGTGTGTGTGTGTGTGTGTGTGTGTGTGTGTGTGTGTGTTTGATGGTACCAAGGATCAAACTCACAACCTCATGCTGGCCAGGCAGGGGCTTATGCTACTGACCTAAATGCTTGGCCCAGTTTCAGAGATTTCTATCTGTCCACTATAGAGGAAATGAGCTAACCATGGACATTCTCCATTTTCCATTGAACCTTTGGCTAAGCAAGACTCTAACAGGGTCATTGTTGAGATGCTCTGAATGTTTACATTATTGCAATTATGGATCCATCTCCATTAGCCATTGAAAGGCCTAGACATTCATCTCTCCTCATTTTACAGTTACTTTTTACTGGGCTGTATATTTCTTTTGAAGAAGGGCTGAATGAATCATCATGCTGTAGTACTGAAGGCCAGTACTTTCATCCGCCATCAGGTCAGAGAACAGGAAATTCTGTCTTAATTATAGGTATTTGTATAATATTATCAACTGAATCTACATTTTTATTTTGGTTATTGGAGACAATGTCTCAGTTTGACCTTGAATTCAGTGAGTAGCTCAGGCTGGTCTAGAACTCATGGTGATCCTCCTGCCTCAGCCTCCTGAGTACTGGGATTACAGCCATGTACCACCACATCCGGTTAACCTTGATTTTAAATGACTTATCAATTCTAATTCCTTTTTAATCATATAAGTAGATCTATAAGTCATTCAACTGTATGTCTTATGTCATATTATTATGTAAACACACATAATATGAAGATTATAAATGATCATAAATTTCCAACTTTCCCTAACAACACTTCCTAACTTCTATTCCTGAAAGCTAATATTTTCTCACATATGATATTCCATATTTTTGAAGCATCTCATTATACTGTTAAACACTTGTATTTTTTCAGAAAATTCTTGTAACATGGAGATGATTATTGTCTATTCAAAATCACTTAATTGGTTCTATTTCCATCTTGTGGAGACAAAATCCGAGCACTCTTCTACATCTTGAAGCATTCCAAATATTTTCAGATAACTATTATAACCTGTTAAGTGTTCCCTTCTTCACGCTAAACAGTCATAATTCTCTTAGCAGATGCTTAGCTTGTTTAAAAATATCCCCTACAATTTCAGACCATCTCTTCTTCTAAACCATGAAACCCCTAAACAACAAAACAGACTAACTGTGGTTATGGCTTGTATCTAGATGCCCTTCAGAGCCTCATGTGCTCTCAGGTGAGGCTGTGGGAGGTGGTTGGATTACAGGTGTGCGATGCTGCATTAGGGTGTGTGACGATGTAGTTAAGGATAGGTGATGTCTAAAGCGGGTCAGCATAGTGGGAGGTATGGGTAGCGGACAGCCCACCTGGCTGTGGGAGACAGCACGCGAGAGACTTCTAGCCTGAATAGAGAAAAGGAAAGGAAGGCTTTTCTGCTTGCCGCCTGCAAGCTGCCACCCCGTGGGCTGCTTGTCCTCTACCACGCCCCGCAGACATGCCGCCCTTCCTTGGAGCCAGCTTGTGGACTTCCCTCTACAAACTGTGAGCTGAAACAAATCTCTCCTCCTTTAACTTGCAGTGGTCAGCTACTTTGACTCAGCAACAAGGAAACTAAGAAAGGAGGATACAATTATTAAACAAACAATACTATTCTGTTTTCTTTAGCTGTTCCCAAATTATTTCATTTTGGAAGTAGTCACTTATTAAATAATATATTTTAATGTACTAAAAGGTTCCAGAGATCTTACATATCAACATACTCTCTCATACTCTTGAAAGCCAATTTTAAAGTCGTTTTTGGATTCTTATTCATCTATGATTTGGATCACAGTCAAGTGATTGCAGATGTCAGCATATGAGTCAACTCGCCTTGCCTCATCATATGTGAATCAGTCTGATGCACATTATTTGTCTGAAGTTTCTGATACCATAATAGGTACTGTGAATAGAATGTCAGTTCCCTGTCCTTGAAGAGATAATATTATGCAGCAAAGTATATATATATATATATATATATATATATATATATATTATATCTAGTTTTATATATATATAGAATATATATATATATATTCTATCTAATTTTATCTTTGCAAAACCTAAGGATTCATTTCAATTACTCTAATAAGTCTCAAATGAATGTGTAATTTATTACTTAAATTGTAGTGATTTGACAGTAGAAAAAGATTACTAACTCTACCTATATACAATGCATAAATCAGTAGTAAACTATTTATATTAAAAGATTAAGTGCTAAAGGATTTTAGAAATAGAACTAATTTTGCAAGATTTGTTGGATCATATGTCTATGCAATGTACTCTGAGATTTCTTGTAGATCAGACTTTTAAAAATTATAATATTCTTATATTTGTTTAAATCTGTTATTCTTTCATCTACCAGGTATAGAATAAAATTTATCTAGGTTGAAACAACTCAAGTAACATTAAATCACCTGATTACATAATCAGAGTGTTTGTGGCTTAATTTTATTATTTATTTATTTATTTTTAATAAGGGAGAGTATGAACACAGTCTCCCCCTACCACAAATTATGCAGTCATGTTTCCCACGTTTGGGGAATCACAAGGGTCAGCATATCCAGAGAGCAGTGAGTAAGCCTTGCCCTGGGAAAACCACGTTCTTGGTCATGGACTCTTCCCTGCCATGTAAGTGTTTATTTATTTATTTATTTATTTATTTATTTTGAGATAGGGTTTCACTATACAGTTCAGGCTGACCACAAATTCACTTTGTAGTTCAGACAGCCGTGAACACACATGATTCTCCTGTCTTTTCCTCTTGAGAGCTGGGATTACAGTCTTATGCCCCTATGTCCAGTTTTTCGTGCCTTTTAAATCACTTTAAGTCTTAGACATTGTTTTCACAAGATAGAAGTTAATTAGCCTATAATGATTTCTCTATGTCACTCAAGATAATCTGGTATACTTCAGTGACTAATAATATCCAATATCAGTAGTTTAATGTCAGTGTTTTGTTTTTCTCTACTTTTTATACCACGTTTAGTAGAATAAGGATCTCTGTCTATTTAGTAAACACACTTCCAAAGTTGCGTATATAGGAGAAGAGGACACTGGATTTTTCAATAGTAAGCATGTGTCTTTACCCTCAAGTGCCACATAACGCTAATATTTGTGTTTCATTGGTCAGTTCAAACCATTTTAAAAACTCTGAGAAATAAAATCCTTCTCTTGTGTTCAAAAAGATAATGATACAATTTATTAGTATTTCTATTAACTGTTATATCCCTTTTTTCCTAACAATCTGTTGGTAATGCTTAGTGATAATCTACATTCCTAATGAAAGCCAAGCATGCTTTGATTATATAAATTAGATAATAGTGCATTAAAGTAGGTTAAATAAAGTCATTTTGTAACACAAAGCTACATCAATTAGTGTGAACAATGTTTTGACATATAACTACTCTTATTAAAATATTTATGATTCACACTGTAATTTATAGCATCAGAGTCTCACAAACTCAAAGTAGTAGATGTATTTATAAACTAATTCTGGAAAGCAATAAAACAAAGCAAAACAAAACATAGCAAATAAAATCATCCTAAATATATTTTAAATACAATACAGTAATTTAACTGAAATCCCAAACTCTTGAAAAGATTTCATTATACTTAAGTGTTTTGACTGTCGATAGTAGTAATATGGGAAAATACTAATGAAGTATGTGTTGAGTCCAGGAGTTTTATCACCAACTAGTTGCTACTTATCACAGACAATTTAAAATATAGTTAATATAATTTGACTATTAGAATTTCCATACAACATGTTTAGTACTCAGGATTGAATCATTGAAAGGAAATGTCAAAGTAGAAGGCACAAAGTACCTCTTTCTTAATCTATAGAACAATTGGACAGCAGAATCTGGTGCAAATACTTTGGAGCACTGAAATCTATGGAAGGATGTAACTTCCAGGGAAAGTTTTAGATAGTATTTGCATTTAATTTATGTCAATTTCAGCTCTTAGCTTGTAGTAAGTATCAATTCTCCTCCCACCCAGAGGGTGAGCTGGGATGAACTTGCACACAGGTTGAAGGAGTCTGAGTAGAGCAAAAAAAGAAAAATACCCCATTCTCAAATACTGGGAATCTCTCCTCTATCTCTAATGGTTGCTTCTGTCACACAGGCCTGGTCCAAGAGGTACATGACCATTGTCGTACTTACTATCCACATGGTTATGAAAAATCAGGTAATATATTAATCCTCCCATTTTAGGATCTTTATGCTGAGCCTGAGACTTAAATTTGCATAAGCAAGACAGAAGCAAATAAATCTGCTTAGTAAATGAGAGCCTGGTAAGGTAAAGACTCAAAACTGTAATTCAAGTTGTACATTTACGTACTGAAAGACGTTGAGAGTGGCAAGTTGTAGAAAAGTACACAACAAGTTAGGGGTGGAATGGAAAATCCTAAACCTTGAAAAGTCACATAAGAAAAAATATAGCAAACATTACATTAAATAATTAAACACTGAAAATGTTTCCTTTTAAAGGAAACTAAATGCTGGACATTGTGGTGCACATGTATAATCCCAGCACACTGGGGATCTGAGGAAAAAGAATCACAAGTTTTGCACAATCTGAAAAAGGTGCTCAGCAAGACTCTGAAAATGAAAATAAAGAATAAAAAAGAAAAGTAAACAAATAAAATAAAGAGTACTGTAAAGATTTGAGTTCAAGTAATAAAAAATAAGCAAGAATAGGAGGCCCATTTTCACCACTTACCATACTGAAAATTCTAGCCAGAGAAATTGAGAGAAAGAAAGAAAATATATTCATGTTAGAGATAAAATAACATCTTCACACATATGATATAATCTTATCTTGAAAAATCTCTAAAGATCTGGCCTAAAAATGATCGTTAGAATTTAAAAATTCTGAAAAGAACACAAAAATCACTTGTGTTTCCATATATTAAAAATGAACAATCTCAAAGGGAACTTAAATAATTGCACTTAAAATATCATCAAAATATTTAAGAATAAAATAATATAGTAGAAAAGTATATAATTAAAAACTATAACATCACTGAAACCAATTAAAGAAAAATCAATAACTAGAAATAAAACTTTGTTCTTACAGTGGGGGACTCAGTATCACTAAAATGTGCATATTATCCACAGTGATCTATCTATTAATACAAACCTCATCAAAAGTTCAGTGACTTTTTTGGAGAAGTAAAAAATGTATACTAAAATTCACAGAGGAATCACAACAATATCAAATTGGCTCTGCACACTTAAAGAAAAACAAAGCCAAACACTCATACATTCAGACCCAAAACTCACTACAAAATAACAGTAATCAATACAGTGTGATAGTGGTATAAAAGCAGACGACCAGAACAATGAGATAGAATAAAAAGCCCAGGAGAAAACTCTTCGTGTGTGTGATTAATTTTTGAAATAGTTTTTAAGACTTTCTACTGGGAAAAATATAGTTTTAAAAAAGACAGTGGTTGGAAAACTGGATTTCAACAGACAAAAGAAAGAAGCCCCACTATTACCCAACACCTCATACAGAAGCTACCATGAAATTGTCAAAAATCTCTAGGATATAAGGACTAAAAGTATAAAACTACTACAAAGAAAACATAGCTTCGAATGTGTCAGTGACTCCTTGGATGTGAAACCAAAGGCTCAAAAAACCAAACCAAACCTGAGTGTATGAAGGGAAACCATCAATAAACTAAACATGGTGCCTGCCTGAGTCCCAAGTAGTTGGAAGCTGAGACAGAGAGATCACAAGTTTTAGTTCAGGCTGAGCAGCTTAACAGATTTAAATGATGTTAACAGACTAAGAAAGGATTTTACTTTACAAAATCAGAGTCAATATTATGCAGTCACGTATCTAATAATGTGTGAATGGATAAAGAAACATTAAGACTCATCAAGTGCTAGGAATGGTGGAGCACACCTGTAACCCCAGCACTGGGCAGGCTGAGACAGGAGAATCAGCATAAATTCAGCCGTTGGCTACAAAGTGAGTTCAAGTACAACCTGAACTACATAGTGAGATCCTGTCTCAAAATAAATAAATAAATAAATAAATAAATAAATAAAGTAAAACTCAACAACAACAAAAACCCAAACAAATCAATTTAAAATTGGCAACAAACTTAAAGCTATTTCCCCAAACAAAATATACTCTATTCTCCAGACTGTTGAAAAACTGAAAGGTATTTAAGTTATGATCTATACAGTAGAGCATTATACAGCCATAAAGAAGACAGAGATCATGTGATTTTGGGGAAAACAGATGGAACTAGTGATTATTAGATTGACTGAAATGAAATAATCTCACAGACAAATACCACATTTTCTTGTCATACGTGGTACCCAAGAGTGTGTTTTGACATGGAAGTGTAAGGGTGCCTAGTGGAAAAGTGGAGGGGCACCTGGGAAAGTGGAGAATTGGGTGAGACAGGGGAGTGGGGAAAGCAAGAAGAGTTGAAGCATTTTATATGGGACTTTGGGAATGTCACAATGAAATCCATTAAATTGAAATTAACACATACCTAATAAAGTTTAAATCACATTAAAAACTAAAGTTTAAATGGAAAAAGATTTTTAATTGATCAGTGTATATAAAGTTCCAGGTAGACATGAGGATTAAATTTTGTGATTAATTATACAGTAGAGTGATAATAGCCAATAAGAATGTACAGTGTACTTCAAAATAGTGGCTAGAATAAATTCAAATATCTTTACACAAAAATCATTGAATAAATGATTGATTTTTTCTGTTAACTATTTTCATTATTTCACGGTATTTCCACAACATCAACATCAATTCTACATGTAAGTAATTATGATCTGGCAATTAAAAATAATATTTATCCAAAATTTAAAAAGAATGAATAGTATCTAAGATGGGAGTTAAGCTTAATGGTGGCAAACTTATGGCATGTGTGTGTTTTGTTTTGCTTTTAAGACAAAAGATGTTAAGTATGAACTATTGTTTCCAATCTAAAACCTCAATATTCGTGTTCAATTGCAGTGTTGGAACTTTGCAGTAAATCAGTGGATGTGGGGTTGAAATTTTGGTGCTCATCTCCAAATGTTTCACCGTCACTGTACTAGTGTGATCCTTAAACTAAGAAAAATATTTATTATTAAGCATATGACAAATTTAAACCTGTGTTATATGCCTTATCTCATTGTTCCTTACAATAAATATATATTGTAGCTATAAGGATATTTGCTAGAAAGTTTTAGTCCTTATATTTCTGCAAGATATATCAGCTATCATTTTTCCCTATCACGGAATACTTTTTAGACTTATGATTTAACACTTCTTTTAGAAGTGTTTACTCTGTTTCTTTTTTGGATTATTCTACTTATCACATCCTTAGATATTTCTGTCCTTCACTGTTTGTCTCATGGTCTTGTTCTGCTCTTGTGTTTTCTGTCTTTCTAATGGGTAGAGTGGATCTAGTTAATTAGAAAGGCTTTCACAGTTGGTGACCACTATTTTAACTAGCACTTAGATGTGATAAAAGACTTTGATTTGACAGTGACAAGGAGGGAGCTTGTGAGTGCCTGATTAAGAAGACTTATTCGAAACATACGTCATGGACCAGCAATGTGATCGAGTGTATTGTGATTGGAGTTTCAGCCACTAGTAATTTAGTCATATC